GAGCAGATGGGGACCATGACTCAGCAGGCGCCCATTGTTCTGTGCATTTTTTCTAGCCAGCTCTTCCTGCCCTGGGTGCCTAACAGTACCAGTGTGATGCACACCAGGATCCAGACTCCCTACTAGTACAGCAGATAGAGCTGGCTGGACGATGCCTTGCAGCTTTCACCTTGTTCTGCGGGCCAGAGAATCATGAGAATATCAGGTCACGTGTCGGCTTACAAACCTGCTAGATCCGGTTGTCACTCTGCATCATAAACTAGGTGTAAATCACAAGCATTATTATCAAATCAAACCAATTCATATTAACATTGTTTTGATTTTGTTTAGTCAAAATTTCTATCAGGACTCTATTTCTATTTGACCCCAATGGGGAGGTTTCCTTCACTCCCCTTTCCGCAGCTCTCTTACCTCCTCTATGAAAATGTGTTTGTCTCTGTTTGTGTCTTCATTCAAAAGGTATGTCCTGACAGATTAGAAATAACCTGAAAGCTTCTCTACCCCTATTCTTTTTGATCCAAAAACAAAGTATTTTAGCTGGAAATGGGATTAACTTTACCTTTATACAACTACTATAAAAGGAGGGCAGCTGGAAGCTTGTGCTAGAGTTTCCAAAAGGTATTAGCCGGGAGGACAGCAAGTGTGGTGAGATACAGAAGCTAGTCCCCACACACCAAAGTGGTGTGCTGGTGACACTAGAATTTGCAATTTGATGAGCACTGTTTTCTTTTACCTTTGTGAGTATTTAATTTGGAATTAGAGCTGAATAAAGTGTTTTAAATGGAATCACACTATGTGGGATATTTTTCCCTTTGAGCTCCAGTGGAGATTTAAACATTTGCTGGCATTCGCACCCCCATAAGAAGCTTTCAACAGAGTGATTACCCTGCAACTGTTTTGCCAGTCAGTAAAATGAGAGGCAAAAGGAGTTGGTGAGTGTTGAACCATAAGGGGAGTGGATGTCACTACTCACAGTGGTGAAGTGGCTCCCACTGCTGTCAATCACAGTCAGTGAGAAGAGAGGGGGCAGGGATGAGCCATGGCTCCATGTGTGAATGGACACATGGAGCAGTGGGTGCCCCCATAGCAAGCTACTTGCTGCGGGGGCACCTGACAGGAGGGAGAGACCAGGAGAGCCTGCATGGGACCTAAGAAGAGGAGGATCCAGGCTGCTCTGTGCAAAACCACTGCACACAGCAGGTAAGTATAGACATGTTTGGTAATTTTTATTAAAAAATAAACCTTTAGAATCACTAAGTATTCAATGTAAAGGTGGATTGTTATTGTCACTTATCACTGGGTGATTTATAGCATCAATTGTTTTGGACGAACGTGCAGCCTGGAGAAAATGTTTGTTGTGTTTACTTTTATACAACCAACCAATTCGCTATCCCCAGCCCCCAACGCAAGCCTCTAACGAATCTGACTTAACTATCCACCACCTAACCTAGACAATCCCCCTCTCCCCCCTTCCCAATTCTTCCTAAACTATGAGGAAAGATCAGAGGAACTTAATGTATACTCTCTTGAGAATAGATTAAGTGGGGATATAATCAACATGTATAAATACATACAGTATCTCTCCCAAAAGTGAGTACACTCCTCACATATTTGTAAATATTTTATTCTATCTTTTCATGTGACAACACTGAAGAAATGACACTTTGCTACAATGTAAAGTAGTGAGTGTACAGCTTGTATAACAGTGTAAATTTGCTGTCCCCTCAAAATAACTCAACAGACAGCCATTAGTCTAAGTCTAAACCGCTGGCAACAAAAGTGAGTACACCCCTAAGTGAAAATGTCCAAACTGGGCCCAATTAGCCATTTTCCCTCCCCGGTGTCATGTGACTCGTTAGTGTTACAAGGTCTGAGGTGTGAATGGGGAGCAGGTGTGTTAAATTTGGTGTTATCGCTCTCACTCTCTCATAATGGTTACTGGAAGTTCAACATGGCACCTCATGGCAAAGAACTCTCTGAGGACCTATAAAAAAGAATTGTTGCTTTACATAAAGATGGCCTAGGCCAGGGGTCTGCAACCTTTAAGACATAAAGAGCCACTTGGACCCGTTTCCGAGAGGGAAAAAAAGACTGGGAGCCGCAAAAACCATTGCAACATTTAAAACAAATCCGACACTGCATATATTGCAAAAAGCGCTCTGGTCATGAAGGGGGTTTAAGGGCCCAGTAAGCAAAGGGTTAATCAGGGCCACAGTGTATCGTCATAATCACAATCATAGCCTTAGGTCAGTGGTGGGCAACCTTTTTTTTCAACTGAGCCAAATCTCGCCAAAACCACGATTGAAATTTATTTTGAGAGCCACATTTTTAAAACTGAAAATACATCCCCCATATAGTAATTCATCCCCCATAGTAATTCATCCCCCATATAGTAATTCATCCCCATATAGTAATTCATCCCCCATATAGTAATTCATCCTCCATAGTAATTCATCCCCCATATAGTAATTCATCCCCCAAAGTAATTCATCCCCCATATAGTAATTCATCCCCCCTATAGTAATTCATCCCCCACATAGTAATTCATCCCCCACATAGTAATTCATCCCCCACATAGTAATTCATCCCCCATATAGTAATTCATCCCCCATAGTAATTCATCCCCCATATAGTAATTCATCCCCCAAAGTAATTCATCCCCCCATATAGTAATTCATCCCCCTTTAGTAATTCATCCCCCCTTTAGTAATTCATCCCCCATATAGTAATTCATCCCCCCTATAGTAATTAATTCCCCATATTGTGTCAATTCACTTACCTTTGCTCCGCGCGTTCCTCTCGCCGTGTTCCCGCGCCGTTCCGGTCTTCAGGGCGGACTGTGAGAGGAGAGGAGTTCGTCACGCTGCCCCCGCCTGCATCCTGACAGCCAATGTTTGCCACGCTCCGCGGGCCGGATTAAAGGTCCGCCGGGCCGTAGTTTGCCCATTGCTGGGCTAGCTGCAGAGTCCTGACTTTTGGGGCGGCCGCCCGAGAGGAGGGAGGGGAGCGGGCGCCCGGTACACAGAAGAGCCGCATTAAAATGTGTAAAGAGCCGCGGCTTGCCGACCACTGAGCTACGGCAACCCTATTTGCCTGTCACCTGGTGGGCAGTCTGCTCCGGAGCCGCAGCAAAGGTGAAAAAGAGCCGCATGTGGCTCTGGAGCCGCGGGTTGCCGACGACACCCGGCCTAGGCTATAAGAAGATTGCCAAGACCCTGAAACTGAGCTGCAGCACAGTGGCGAAGACCATTCAGCGGTTTAACAGGATAGGTTCCACTTAGAACAGGCCTCGCCATGGTTGGCCAAAGAAGTTGAGTGCATGTGTTCAGAGTCATATCCAGAGGTTGTCTTTGGGAAATAGACGTATGAGCGCTGCCAGCATTCCTGAAGAGGTTGAAGGGGTGGGGGGTCAGCCTGTCAGTGCTCAGACCATACGCCACACACTGCATCAAATTGGTCTGCATGGCTGTTGTCCCTAAAGATGATGCACAAGAAAGCCCACAAACAGTTTGCTGATGACAAGCAGACTAAGGACATCATGGTTTACTTGAATCATGTCCTGTGGTCTAATGAGACCAAGATAAACTTATTTGGTTCAGATAGTGTCAAGTGTGTGTGGCGACATCCAGGTGAGTACTACAGTCAAGCATGGTGGTGGGAGTGCCATAGTCTGGGGCTGCATGAGTGCTGCCGGTGCTGGGGAGCTACAGTTCATTGAGGGAACCATGAATGCCAACATGATAATGACCCCAAACACACCTCCAAGACGACCAACTGCCTTGCTTAAGAAGCTGAGGGTAAAGGTGATGGACTGGCCAGGCATGTCTCCAGACCTAAACCCTATGGAGCATCTGTGGGGCATCCTCAAACAGAAGGTGGAGGAGCGCAAGGTCTCTAACATCCACCAGCTCCGTGATGTCATCGTGGAGGAGTGGAAGAGGACTCCAGTGGCAACCTGTGAAGCTCTGGTGAACTCCATGCCCAAGATGGTTAAGGAAGTGCTGGAAAATAATGGTGGCCACACAAAATATTGACACTTTGGACCCAATTTGGACATTTTCACGTAGGGGTGTACTCACTTTTGTTGACAGCAGTTTAGACATTAATGGCTGTGTGTTGAGTTATTTTGAGGAGACAGCAAATTTATACTGTTATACAAGCTGTACACTCACTACTTTACATTCTAGCAAAGTGTCATTTCTTCAGTGTTGTCACATGAAAACATATAATAAAATATTTACAAAAATGTGAGGGGTGTACTCACTTCTGTGAGATACTGTAGGTGGTCCATACTGATTACTGAACTCTGTGTAGAGTTATTCATTTAAGGTCATCACAGAGGAAAAAGGGGGCACTCTAAGTCTGGGGAAAAAAAAAGACATTTAACCTCCAAATACAGAAAAGGCTTCTTCACAGGCCAGTTCAGTAGACTGTTTTTAAAAAAAGGCCTAAATTCTTTCCTAGATACATAAAATATAACTGAATACTAATATTTATAGGTAAAGTCGATTCAGGGCATATCTGATTGACTCTTTGGGGATCAGGAAGGATTGTTTTCCCCTGCTGGAGCAAATTGTATCATGCTTTATTGGGGGGGGGGGGGGGGGGGGTTCCTTCTCTGGATCAACTGTGGGTATAGGACTGTGTATTTATACAATTGTTTATAGTTTTTTTTCCCCTTCTATTGGTTGAACTTTATGGACTTGTGCCTTTTTTTAACCAGACTATATAACTGGCAGCCTCCTCTTGCCCAAAATATCCTCCGAAGGTGACTCTGAAAGTAATTTTTGTTCACAGGAAAAATTTTAAATTAGCATCTCTTCTGAAGCTCTTAATTCATTCAGTTAATAAGTTAAATTTGTACAGTACCCAAGTATGTTCAGTTCAATAGCAAGAAGATAACTAAAGCAATGATGATACGCTTTTTTCTAAATGTTAAACATAAACCATGGCAAAAAGAAATCCTTAGCATAAAGCATTGTTTACAATATAATAAATACCTTATTGTATTCCAGATCCCAGCATTTCACCTGCTTGTCCTCACCACAAGAAAACAAATATGGACTCCTGGCGCTTACAATTACTCCCCGGACAGTGCTTATGTGTCCAGTTAAGGACAGCTTTAATTTACCGCTTGCCAGATCCCAGATCTCAAGAGAAGACAGAAGACACATTAAGTTCTGTGCAGCTCATTGTTAATATTTGAAATACTCTCCATAAACAAAGAATCTTATTAAAACTATGGCTCAAAATTCAATTCAGAATTATTCACTGTGCTAACAGGATCTTTCCCTGGCCTTCTTATACTGGACAGAGTTGTGCTGTTCGATTCAGGCACAGCAAGCAAAGCAAACTCCAGTGACTGCATCAGCAGATGTATCGAAAGGTTAAAAATAACTTGGTCATGTCTTATGGTAGATTTAGACATGCATCTAAATCACCCCTGCCTCTGAAGCCCGATCCACGTATGGATTGCGCTCCAGAGGTTACTGACTGGCAGAGAGGAAGCAATGCAATCTAACCTTTAACCCCTGTGTATGTCAAATTTATAACTTTCCATATGCTGAGACATGCACAGCATGAATGCACCTTATCAAGTGTCAACTGACAAAAATGACAGTGTACTACTAAGGTCTGCACATTATCAAGATCCCAATTCAAAAAAGCACCCTGGGGATTAATTGATATTAGGGGGCAAAATAACTGTGTGGCCAAAAAGCTTGTGGGAAATGTGTGTTGATGCCAAATCAGCAAGAACCAGAAATCCCAAGACATTTTTCCATCATTTTTAATCTGTCCTAAAAGTAGTTGTACTTAGTACTAGTTAGTTGTTCCTAATACAGTGACCACTGAGTATAAATGCTAAGTGTGTATGTATTCTACCTATATAATATTAAAATAGTACTTGTCATCAGTTACTTATGATACATTTACATACATGTAATATATTTAATGACAGTTATTATGACCAACACTAAGATTCATTAAATCTAGGATGTTACTTTAACAGAAATTTACTTGTTGAGGGCATTGATTCTCACTTCCTAGCATGAAAAAGAAAATTACTTTTTCTTTACAGCACTAAAAAGCAGCTAAAACTGGCATGCAGAAAATTACAAAGACACAATGGGAGCACTAGAAATTATACCCTTCGGCACAATGAATCATAAAAGATCAGTTTCAATACTGCAGTCCTCTTACCTTAATTGTCCGGTCTGCTGAGCCTGTGACAAACCATTGGTTTCCAGGTTCAACTGCTATGCATCGCACCCACCCCAAGTGACCACTGATGACCTGTACAAAAAGCACACATTTTGTTTACATAAAAGCTAGATACATTTATTGTATTTCACAAAAATCTGAAAATTCTCCCTCAAATGGTAATCTGTATATCAAGGAATGTGATCAGCCTTTTCTGTTTAAACTACATAGATAAGCCAGGTAATCTTTTAGAGCAGGGGTGTCAAACTGGCGGCCCTCCAGCTGTTGTGAAACTACAAATCCCATCGTGCATCTGCCTTTGGGAGTCATGCTTGTAACGGTCGGTCTTGCAATGCCTCATGGGACTTGTAGTTTGGCAACAGCTGGAGGGCTGCCAGTTTGACTCACGTGTTTTAGAGTGTCTGCTGTTTCCAATCAGGCTAGACTTGATCCACTTTTGTACTAAGAGCAAGGGGCAATGTTATTTTCTTAAAAAGCAGGAGGCACAGTATGTATTTAATGCAATGAGCAAATATACCTGCTCCCTTGTAAATATAGTATATATATTTACTATATGGAAAAACAATGTTTAGAAAATGTTTTATTCTCCAGATATGGACAGAGGGCCAATTAGGCCAATATGCAGCCAAACTATAAATGTATTTAACTTGCATAAAGTTGTGCAAGTATGTTAGCTTGCATCAGTGCGGGATATTGAAACTATGGCTCTTAAGTAAGTAGGGTTTAGAAAACAAGAAAAGAGAGTACAACAAAGCAGGTTATGACGTCAATCAAATGGAATCAAAAATCTCTATTAATGTTTGTAACAAGAAAATGTTATGATGTATTTTTGTTCTAAACATTCAAATACATTTAGTTGTCATATCTCCAAGAACACACTACTAAATGATAGTGGAGACATTATTTACACTTTAATGTAAGATTTCTTCATGCTATAGAACTATAGAAGGGCTATAAAAAGTAAATGGTTGCCATTATTTGTTCATCTATTTATGGCGAATGCAATCAATCAATATTTGCAGTTATTGAACTATGTGAAAAGAGTTATATAGCAAACGTGGTTGAAAAAAGTCACAGATCGATCAAGTTCAACCCCTATGTGTGCGCTTTATCTGTTTGAAAAACAATCCCTACAAGACATAAGCCAATACTCACTCTATACAGTTTCCATGGTGGGTGCCACTGTGGTTTTGGCATGGTTGGGGCTTTCTTTGCTAGTAATGCAGAGGCTTTTGTTCCACCAGATTCCATGGAAGCCTAGAAACATAACCATGAAAATAAAAACGTTAAATTTGAATATCACGAGAAAATATGAGGATGGTACTTCTGAATTCAACCTGGAACAGGTATGTAGATCAGGGAAAGCCAAAAAGCCTCATTTGCATACAAGTTATGGGATAGTGAAATTGAGCAAGAAGCTTGTATTTCAAGAAAATCAATTTGGCAGTCTGCATGTGTTCTTTAAGCAAACAAAAGTAGCTACTAAAAATTAACAAACTACAAAACCAGGCCCTTGGTGTAAAAAGGTTTATGTATACTGTAAAATCTTTTTATCGGAAGTCCACTGTGGGATACAGTGCTGATGAGGAGATTAAGTGGGAGTTTGGTTTCTAATCTGTACAAGATACTTCTCTACAAAAAGCAGGGCCATGAACTGACAGTGTAGGGGCTGCACAGCAAAGCAGAGAAGATGCTGATGCACTGGAAAAATGGGAACGTTTATGCATCCTTGATGTCCACAGAACCCAGAAACGAAAGTAAAAGACTTGGTGGATTCCACGCAGAATGTATTATTTTGAATCAAGACTTTCATAGCTTTGAGATCTAATATGAGGAAATTGTCCCCTTTGGGAACTGTAAACAGGCTGGGATAAAAACCTTAAAACCTCCCTGTCATATGAACTGGGGCAATGACAACTTGGCCCAGAAGACCTGAGAAGGCAAAATGGAGATCTGCTAATCTGTGCAGTGTCACAAGAAGGTTTGAGGAGAAAAACCAAGAAAGGGAAGAGAACTCCAATTTGTATACCAAATTGAAGTATACCACTTCCTGCACTAGTGTCTGAGAAGTGTCCACAAAGGTTAACAAACAGCCCCTAACTCTAGAAAGTGTGGGCACATCTTCATGCAGAGGAAGGCTTGTCTCAGGGGCAAAAAAGAGGGAGACAACTTTGCAGTCTGTTCCTCAGGTTTCTTCTGCTAAAGAAGATGGGTGTTCCTGCCTCTGGTATCATCCTTGATATGGTATCAATGGTAAATCTGACACTCCAAATGCAGATCAGGCGCTTCTTGGATGCAGTTTAAACACATTATGTGGTTTAAAGAGATATGCCAGGAAGCTTACAGCAAACTTTTACAACTGAAAGTTAAAGCTACAGCCAATTGCTCCATGCTTTCTATCAGCAATAATCCTTAGTAGTGATAACATCTATTTATGGGAATTTGCTCAGTCAGTCATTATCAGTCAGTAAGCTAATAACCATGGTGAATGAGGACCAGGCCCTGGTGGTGGAGAACAGAGCTCCAAAGAAAAATGCATCCTCTACCAGTATGATAGTAGCTTTGATAAGACAGGACACTGCTAGATCCAAAGTGGGGTAGACTGACTTTTTTTGCAAAATCTTCCCCAAATGGTTATAAGATTAATAAGCCTTTGCAGGCTTAGGGGCTCTAAAGTACTCAAGACTAGAAACGGTACTAGCAAAAGCAACAGGCTGATCATCTAGTTTCAGAGCGGTGCATACCACATTGATAACAAAACAGCCTCCTAACTTGAAAGTAATAGCAGTGGACTGCAACTCCTCAAGGGCAAGCTGATCAGGCAAGGACGACAGTGACTCAGAATCAGAATTTCCGAGGCTGAGAAGTCACCAAGGCTACATGTAAGAAACAGAAACTGCATGAGAAAATGTGGGGGCATGCTTGTGGCCCCTGTGGTCAGTGTCAGAATATAACTGGGTAATATGGGCCATAAAGTCGTGAATTACTGTAATGAAGGGCAGGAGGAATGGGCAGAGGAACCAGCTCCACTAATGGAGTTAAAAGACTCAGATGATAATTTGGACTCTAGAAACAGGGGGCAACAGCATTCCCAGATGTAGACATTGGCACCATCAGGAGGTGCACTGTAAGCAGCTCCAGACCATTAGCAGGGTGTGGGCTGGGAGGCACTCATTACAGTTGGACTGCTTAAGTGTTTCTGCCTTTTTTCACAAACCAACAACCACTGCGACTGTGTTCACCCCAATGGGGGTAGCCTTGACTCAGGTTATTTTTACCTAATTTCATCCATTCCCTTCAAAAACATGCTTACTATGAATTCAACTTAAAAAAAAAAAAAAAATACAATATATTCTGCATGTACTGATTACTGTAAAATTGAACAATTATAATTATCAGTGCAGTAGCCAGACTCCCAAGGGCTGGTGATGCTGCAATTTCTGAGAGAGCCATTGCAGAAATCCAGTGTTCATGTGTACATATCCCAACATTATTTCCATGCCACACAGTGTTTACCAATATATTACTGTCTAGACTAACTTTACCATTGATAGACCAGGGGGCTGTGAGCGCTCAGGAATTCCAGCTTGTCTGTAGATATCTCCAACACTAGCAGCTGTGCGCTGTGCATCTAACCTGTTTATAGGCATAAGATACAGATTTCCATCAAAATTTTTTTTAAATAAGTGTATACAAAATTATTCAGTTATTCCGTAATAAGTAGAACCAAAAATAAATAAATCTCCAACTATATATGGCAAATGCAACTGTATTATTAATCTGTTATCAATATTTGCAATGTCTGTTGAAGCGGGGCTTTAGTTATAATGAAACTGTATAGTGTTTAACCGCTAGCCTACAGGGCACTTATACCCCCTTCCTGCCCAGGCCAATTTCCAGCTCTCAGTGCTGTCACACTTTGAAGTGTGCACTGATGCACACTGTTAGGCGGCACTGATTGGCAACACTGATAGGTGGCACTGACTGGCACTGATGGGTGACACTGAAAGGCAGCACAGATGGGCACTGATATGTGGCACTGATAGGCACTGGCACGTGGCACTGTTCAGCACTGACAGCTGGCACTGATGGTGTGACAGGTAGCACTTCTGGGGCCACACTGATCATCAGGGCACACTGATCATCAGTGCCCCGATGATCAGTGTACATGTCCCCTCCGCGGAATGCCGATTACCGGCTCTCCTCTCCTCTCGAGCTGTCAGCGTGACAGCTCGTGAGGAGAGAAAAGCCGATAACAGGCATTTCCCTGTTTACATGTGATCAGCTGTGATTGGACACAGCTGATCACATGACCGAGCCGACATCTTCGGCTCTTTCCGTGGATCGGTATCCGCTGTGTCCGGTGAGGATGGGAGAACGTCATAGGACGTCCTCCCAGAACGAGAGAACCACCTTGCGCCCGTCATTGGACTATATGGCAGGCGAGAGGTGGTTAAATATTACTATGCATAAATAAAGCCTAAAAAATGTATGGGTACCTGCCACATATTGCCTTTCATACTTTTTAAGCTCCACCTTTATTTATCTCGGCTTTCTGTTCCACTGACCTCAAGTTCTGCCTTCAGATGAGGCATGAGGGAGAAGCCAGTGCATACACATAATGTACAGTACAGTGGAGTCTGTTCATTTGCGTTTTTGAGTTCTCACTCTACAAACGTAACAACGTATGTTACTTATTGTGGCATCTCAGGGATGCCAGTAACAGATACATGGGGTAAATAAGCGGAGAGACATTAAACCATGAAAACACAACAGAGCACATCGTTTTGATACAGAATTTTAACTGTAAAAAAAAAAAAAAAAAAAAAATGGAATTTTGACTTACCTGCAAATTCCATATCTTGGAGTAGAGTACAGGACACAGACAAAATATTTATAGAACGTGGGTTATAGGTCCAAATTTTCAGGTGATTGAACACTGGCAAAGCTTTCAAGGGATATGCCCCCTGGGTGCCTACCCTACCCTACTCTATGAGTCCTCAGTTGTGTGGCAAGGAATGTAGAGTAACCAAAGAATGGAAGGAAGACTTCATGTGTCCTGTACCAAGAAACGGAATTTACAGGCGAGTAAAAAATTCCTCCTAATCGTACAGTACAGAACACAGGCAAAGTATTCACAGAACCAGGGACAAGCCCAAGCATGAATGAGAAGGATGAGCAACAACTAGGCAAACAGAACTGTGCCAAAATGCCCAACAACAAAGTACCTTGAAAAGAAAGCTGCAACTGCAGAAGACTGCATGTTCACTTGGTAGAATGGTAGAAGGTATAAACAGACAACAGCTTTGCAGCTTTACAAAATTCAGTTACAGAGGCCTGATACCAGAAAGCTCAAAAAAACTTTAACTGATCTGGTGGAATGGGTGCATAAAAGTGCAGGAAGAGATTTGTTCTCAAGAGTGTATACTCTAGCAAACAGATGTCTTATCCTTCAAGTAATGGTGAACTTGAAAGCAGGCTGTCCCTTGAGAGGCCATGAGAACAGAATAAATAGGGAATGCTTTGAAGTAGCCTCTAATAGCTCTGTCAATATCAAGGTAGTGAAGAGATTTCCTTTTGATGCTTTCAAGCAGGGCATACAACTGATAGGACTATGTCCTCACTGAGGTGGAAGCCTGATACCACCTTAAGAAGAAGGGATGGACTTGGACGTAAAACTACATTGTCACTGGATGGGGAACAGCTCCCTTCAAAAGACAGAAACTTTTTTTTTTTTTTTAACAAGGGAGTGCAAAGCCAGGGGTCTTTGCATGGACAAGGCCCAAACCTTACCATTCTGACTGCTTAAGGCCAAATTCTGGTCAAGAACTAGTTGAAGGGAGGCCAGAATATTCAAGGGAATAATCTCTGGGACTGAGTTGCCTGTGAAGGAATCAAGGATTTCCAGGAACAAAAGCACCCCCCCCCCCCCCCCCTCCCATCTCTTAAAACCTGGGCTTCAACAGCCAAGCTGTTAAAGGCAAAGACTTAAACAGGGTGAAAAAGAGCACTGAGAGAGCAGGCCAGGGGTCATCAACTAGAAGTCTGAGTATGTTTGTGCACCAGGTTCTTCTGGGCAAGTTTGGTGCAATGAGAAGCACAATCTTCCTCTATTGCTTTGTCTTTTTGAGCAGACGAGGCAGATTTGCACTGGGAAAAAGTCATAGATTAATCTGAATTTAGACCAGGGAATTACTCTCTATTGTTATAAGCTCCATGTTTTTGATGGGAAGCTAGGCTTCCAAAAGGTGACCACGTTCTCTGGACCGTGAAGGACTGAAACACTCCTTCCCAGCATGAAACAATGGAATCTGTTATCACTTTCCAATCATAAGGAAGGAAAAATGTCCCTACTGCTAAGGCTGGGCTGGAGGTCCTTAAAGTTATGGAATACCTTGATTGGTTGGTTGGAGAGGAACATGGCTAGGTCAAGAGAAGGAGCAGATTTATTACTATGAGATATTGTGTTGGAAAGGTGTTGAATGAATTTGAAGTTGAAGCCTGGGTAGGGAGGACAGGTGCTCCATGTTTGAGGAGGCAGAGGCTCCTGAGGAGGGGAGTTTTGGAATCTCTCTGTTGAAGTAAAACCTTCACTCTAGTGACATCTTTGATGACTTGGTCAAGTGCCTCCATAAAAAGGCATCCCGAAAGAGCAGAGCTGTATGGCGCATTTTGCAGGCAGCTTCAGCTGTCCAGGCTTTGTGCCATAAGATTCTGCACATGTTAAAAGGATTAGATTAGAGCCATTCTGGAGATTTGTCTTATGGCATGTTCAAGTGCTTCTACAAAAGAGCAGGGCAGAAGGCAATTGCTGCAAGTGATCCATTAAAGCACAGTCCTGAAATATAGGATCCTCTTGGATGTTCATTGCTCTAGTCAAGGTAGCTCCAGATTGACATTTCATTGATGAATTTGCAGCAATAGCTGGTTGCAGGGCTAGGCCTGCCAGAGTAAAGAGAGCCTTTAGAGGTGTCTCAAACTCTGAATGCAAAATCCTTGCAAAAAGGTACACCTTCAGTCAGCACAGTGAGATTTTTTTTAAGACTAAGAGAAGAGGATTAATCACAAAAACAGACATATTTTTAGTGAACGTATTTTCCACTGGATGAATTAAGTGAAAATCAGTTCCAGAATAATCCAATCATTACAAATTGCCCATTCTATTTGTTCATGAACAGAGAATGTCTTGACAGCTTATGCAGGTCTCTTTGTACCCAAAGGGGCCTGGTGAGATGCAGGAGAATCAAGAACAACAGTGCCAATACTTTTGAGCAAGACAGCAGTGAGCTTCTCCACATTATCAAGCATGTTACGTGAAGCTCCTGATTCAGGTTTAAGAGTGTGTTGAGGAAGAAAGAAAAAACAAAAAACTTTTGCAGCCTCCTCTACTACTATTCTTGTCTGTGTCTGCTTGTCTAAGGCAGGCATTTCAGGATCTGGGACAGGTAGAGGCAGAGGAGTTGAGGAAGTGGCATGACATTTTGTAGCCCTAGACAAAGATGGCTGTATTAGGGCTGTTAGCTGTCCGGGGTATTGTGACAGATGAAGAACATTTTGCTTTTATCAGGTAGGTCACTTGTTATGTGTCAGAGATAGAGATAGAATTGGATACAAAGAACAGTGTTAAAATTGGTTCCTGCAAGGAAAGCATGGTCACTTTGTAGTGTAATGTGTTGTGTGGCCCTCAGCAGAGAGAATGTTTGCTAGAGATTTAACCAGGTCTAATGCCACAGCTACAGGTGAGGTATTCCCCTGTGGGGTACTCACCGAGAAGGGTGCAAAATATAGGGTAAGCGTATCTGAAAGGAGCATGCAACAACCCAAACGTAGACCATCCTGTAACGAATCCATGTGGCAAAAGGACGGGAGTGAATGCCCAATGGCCAATCAGTGATCACATGATCGGGACCTCAGACAGAGGTCCCGTACAGCGATCGGTGTTCTGCTGTGTCTGGAGGACACAGCAGGCACCGGATCGCGGTGCATGCGCTCCCAGGGAGTGCGCACGGGCAGGGAGTGCGGGAGGATGTTTATAAACGGTCACCTGCTCCTGCACTGCTCCCGTTTGGCCGTTTATGTACATGGGCAGGACTGGAAATGGTTAAAAGGGCTCCTAGTGGAAGTGGCGGTAAAGTGGGTGCAATGTGATGTCACACCTGATACAGGAGGTCTAGGTGATTTAATTTTAATTTGAAAAGTTTACACTACAAAGTCTATACATTCCAAACATAACTCCTGTTTTTATAACAACATTCAGGGGAACCTTGTCTTACCTGTCCACAACACTGGACAGCTTATAAAGCCCCTCATGGTGGGCATAACCCCAGAGGGGTTTTCAGGGTCTGGGTTCAATAGCGATGGACCATAATCCTGGACCTGTATAGTATTCTGCAACTGACTACCACATGTTGCACTGCCAAACAGGATCCAGTGTCCAGTGTATTGCTGATAATGATGTACTGCCTCTATTTTGATATTGGAAGGCCGTGAAAGAGATGACTGAAGAGTTGAAGAAAAGAAAGATAAAACAATAAAATAATCTACTAGTTAAGCTAAGAGTGATTTTGCCGCAATGGAGAAAAGGTCCATTACCTTAGGACACTAGAAAGAGAGAAACGGAGGATTCACAGAATGGGGTAGTGCTATAGGAGAGGTGTCCAGGGGGATGTCTTTGAAAGCTTTGCCTGTGTCCAATCACTTGAAATTAGGAGCCTATAATCCAGGGTCTATTAATAGCTTACCTGTGTTCTTTACTGTACAATTAAGATATTTACTTATGAAATTACAGTTTCTCTTTAGCTTTATTAAAAGGATAAGGGCAGGTAATATAACTGGATAACTAAACTGTCCACCAGCCTCTACAAAAATGTAATAACATTTCATAACGAGGATGCCTTGAAATACTTGATTGGAAGTGCTTAGCCAAATCTGTGAGCCATTTGTGCTAAATTCTTGCCCCAAAAATTAATAGGGTGAAGGAAAGTGAACTGCCATGGGGAATTATGATGGTCCACTGATACATGTATCAAGAAGCGGATAGGGAATACTGTTAATTGCTATTTCAGTTACTTAGTCCCACAGTGCATGTACTGGGCTGTAGCTACACAACAGTGCTTGGATGGCTATTAGGACTAGCCAAGCAATTAAAAAAAAAAAAAAAAGTTTTCCGAAACAGCTTTCCTTATTCATTAGGAAAGCAATGAGTAAAATGGAAAATTACATAATAAACAGCAATTAATGAGCAATTTAACCTTTCAATGATCTGACTACAGTCACCAAATTATGGTTTCAGTTCAATACTATACCTCACTGCAATATTATATATATATATATATATATATATATATATATATATATATATATATATATATATTTTTTTTTTTTTTTTTTTTTTTTAATTTATTTTTTTATTTATTTTTTTTTTTGAGATAAGTCGAAGAAATTCCTCAATATAAGCTTCATAAACATGTACCTTGATTGTGAAGGTGGAAGTGCCAAAGCCAGAGACTGTGCGGCTGATTCACTAGGCATTCTCTGGATCTGAGTATCAGCTGTCAAAGCAAGACCTAGGAAAAGTGGGGATAACACACAACATTAAGAAAGCAGTCTGAAGATGGCTTTGCACACCACATGCGGAATACATTCTAGCTCTTACTGGTCTGTGTATCTGCAATTTTGGAAGTGTGGAATACAGTTAGGTCTATATATATTTGAACACAGGCACAATTTCAGTTTTTTTCAGGTATTTACCTAAACATATTCAGGCTATAGTTATATAATGGATATGGGCTGAAAGTGCACACTCTTAGGTTTAATTTGAGGGTATGTACATCCAAATTGGAGGAAGGGTTTAGGAATTACAGCTCTTAAGACTAGCCATCCCCCCTTTTTCAAGGGACCAAAAGTAATTGGACAATTGGATCAAAAGCGGTTTCATGGCCAGGTGTGGGCTACTCCATTATTTCTTCATCAATTAAGCAGGTAAAAGGTCTGGAGATGATTTTAAGTCTGGTATTTGCATTTGGAATCTATTGCTGTGAACTTACATCATGTGTTCAAAGGAGCTGTCCATGCAAGTGAAACAGGCCATTGTAAGGCTTCAAAAACTAAACAAATTCATTGATGATGTGAGAGAAGATAGAAGCAGCTGGATGAATTCTGCAGCTTTTAGAGATATACTGTCAGCCCAGACAAAGTTGATTGGACGAGGCTTCACAGTACAGATGGACAGTGATCCAAAACACACTGCAAAAGCAACCCAGGAGCTTTTGAAGGAAAAGAAGTGGAATATTCTGCAGTGGCTGAGTCAATCACCTGATTTCAACCCAATTGAGCATGCATTTCACTTGCTGAAAGCAAAACTAAAGGCAGAAAGGCCCACAAAGAACTGAAGATGCTTGCAGATAGAGCCTGTCAAAGCATCAGAAAATAGGGAAACCCAGTCTTTGGTAATGTCCATGGATTCCAAATTAAACCTGAGAGTGTGCACTTTCAGCCCACATCCATTATATAACTATAGCTTGAATATGTTTTGGTAACTACCTGAAAAAAACTAAAATTGTGCCAGTGTCCAAATATATATGGATCTAACTTTATGTACATTACATAGCAGTGCCTGGCATTTAGAATCATAGCTCCTGAGCATGGGAAGAAGCATACCCATATAAAAAGCAATTGTTTATAAAATTAGATTTATGAATAGGCAAATATATAGTACAGATAGGTACATCAACAGCTCACACTGAGATGAAGCACAAATATGATTGTTGAACAGATACATATCTGATTGTTGAACAATGTATGCATCAACCAGTTGAAATGACAAGAAATAACATTACTTTTGCCGATAGATATGCAGCACATATTTTAAGATGGCCTGACAATGTACATCTCTTTTTTTTACTAAACAATTTCAGTCAGCACTTTCCACTGATCTGCCATGCCAAGAGCAGGTGTAAACAGAGGCAAGCAGATCAAAAGTAGCAAGTATTAATGAGAAATACACTTCTAGTGAACAAAGAAAAGCAGTGGCTACTTGCAGATGATCATAAAATTTAGTTGACAAGTCTGGCTTAAATGGTCTGGATCAAGCATGGAGCAAGTGGAAAGTGAAGTTAAAATGATGTTAACTTGATATCTACACACCTATTCCAGGACATTGGTATAAAAGTATTATGGGATCACCGTGCCAACCAATCAGAAGAAGAGGTCAGCAATGGCAGTCAATTAGTGCCCTTATATTACAGGTATCCTTTAACCTCCTTGGCGGTATGATTCTTTCCGATTTTTTGTGCTGAAAGCGGTACCATTTTTTTGCATGGAAATATGTAGTTTTTTATTGTAGGCTGTAACTTTTAGGAATAACTCACTGAAATCTGTCCGAACAAGAGTCTAGTAAACATTCCGGATATGATAAAACTTGAAACACGAAATCATAAATTATAATTTAATAAATAATCATAAAAAATAATAATATATTTAATTCAATAATATAATCAAACCAAAAACACTGAAATTTGAAATACAGAGGCAAATTCGCACATCGCTGAGCAAAGTCGCAAAATCGTTTTCAGTCTGATGACGAATTTCCCCACGAATCATTATCACTCATTTCTGCAAGTGGTTCTGATTTACTATCGCTGTTCTCTAGCTGGTCTAAAACCGCTTTTGACATAAAGGGACGCTTTTTGGACGCCATGGACTTTTCTAAGTTTCCAGGCAGAAAGAACAGTCAAAATGCAGACAGGGCACAGGACAAAGCAGTAGGGACAAAATGTATGTGAAATGCATTGAAACAGCAATGTTTTACTATACAATAATCATTTTTTAAAAAATGACATTTTTTTAAAATTTCAAATTTGCCGCCGGTTCCGGCGCCCGTACGTCCCGACGTCACAGGGACCGGAACACGGAAGCTGGATGCCGGCATCGGCCAGATGAGATGGCCGGGGACATTGTAGGGGACATATCGTGGGAGCAAAGGACAAGGTAAGTGCTGCAGGGACTCGCTGAGCAACGCCGCATGGTAAACCCGAGTGTAGCTCGGGGTTACCGCTCTTGTTACTGAAATTTTACCCCGAGCTACACTCGGGAATACCGCCAAGGAGGTTAAAGAGAGCTAGAGAAATCCATGACATGTTTTATATTTAAATGAAATAGGTTAATTACCTGGGCCTGATGGATATGGGTGAGTTCCAGTTATCATGTATTCAGAATCCAGGCCTAATGAAATATAAAATTGCAATGAAAGAACACAACTATGCATTTCTAATCTCCTTCCAAAATAATATTATACCACTTGCTGTCCAGCCAATATTGACATTTTTCACATACATGTTAAAATCAGCATTGCTAGGAAATTACTTTGAATCCCCAAAATTACATATTTTATAAAAGCAGAGGACCTGGTGAATAAAATGGTGGCTGCAGTTTTTTGTGTCACACAATATTTGCACCGCCATTTATGAAAGGCAAATTGTCAGTCAAAAGTACACTTAAATGCATTTTAGTGCATACAAACACAATATAATACTCAATTGTTTGGTAAAATATTCAAGATAATGTTGCACTAAGTAAATAGATACCAAACATATCAAGGTTTAAGATTCTGCACACCAGTGAAATGGGGACAAACTATGTTACCTAAAAATTGCTTTAAAAGCCTTTACAGGTTACCAGCTTATAGTTAAACATGAGCTTTGGTGCTAGAATTACAAATATCACGCTGACGCTCGCAGCGTTACCTCACATGTGGTGCAATCAATGTTTACATATGCGTGCGGGACATACGTGTGCTTTTTAAAAATTTTTATTGATTTATATTTTTACATTTTTTGTTCTCAATTAATTTCATTGCTATCACAAAAGGATGAACATCTCTTGTGATAGCTTGGGCAGCGACTGGTATTCTTTTTGAAGAGATCGGGGTATTAGACCCTGCCGTCAGAATACACTGATCAGCGCTGCAACCAATTGGCAGCATGCGCCGATCGAGTGAGAATTTACCAACGAGCCGGTTCATAAGAAGTTGATGAACTTCTCATGAACAGGAATGGTCATACATGAATCGAAATATGGCTAGTTCCTTCTGAATGGCAGTGGTTATGAAGGAAAATCATTTTTTTTTTTAACTTAAAAGTGGGTGTAAACCCTTACATATACCCAGTAAAGTGACTGTCCTCAGATGAAACACAGAGATTAAACAAATCCTCCTATATAAGTTGTACCTGTCTAGTTGCAGTTTGACTGAGAGTTCAGAAAAAAGGGGGCAGAGAACTAAAATTACACTCTGCAGAGCTCAGTAAGGGAAACTCTGAGAGCAGTCTGTAGGGAAGAGACCCCCCTTCACACAGCACACAGGAACTGAGCTGAGGCTGTCAATCTGCTGGAGGTCCCTCCCCGTCACCATTCTTCTCTAGGTGGCAGAAAAATTTGTCAGAAGTGATTTGTGCCGAGAGCAGGTTAAGGAAGCAGCAGACAGAAATGACACTTAGTGTTCCTAATAGAGACAAGCACACAGTATACAGGGAATGGATTTGTTAAAGAGCAATTTCGTGCCTCCACCCCCCCCCCAAAAAAAAAAAGTTAAAGTCAGCAGCTAAAAACACTGTAGCTACTGACTTTTACTAGGGCATTTACCTGTACAGGCATCCAGCAGTGTCCTGTGCATGCGCGAAGCGTACTGCGCTTTCAGAATGGGACACAGTCTTCTGGGACCTGTGAAGTGTCCCACAATGCTGCAGGGAAATGGGGGGGGGGGGGTAGGGGACCTACTACCAAAACCAGGTATCTACTTCCCCCAAAAGGTGCCAAATGTGTGGCAGGGAAGGCGGTAGACAAGTGGAGTTTCCCCTTTTGGGCGGAACTCTGCTTTACTATTTCATGTCAAGGTTTACAATCACTTTAATGCATTCTCTGCAGTAAAGTAAAAATGTTCCACTATCCGTTTCTTTCCCTCTCTCTCTCTAAATACTTAACTGGCTCCCTCTCAATCCAGTGCTGTGCCCTTCTGAAACAGCCTTGCTCTCTCCCTGGTCTCACAGGATAGAGTGAGAGCAGCAGGAACCATTAGCCCCTGCAAATCAAATCCAGTGAAGGTGGAACCAGGGGGTGGAGGGGCGGGGTCAAGTCACATTGCACTGTGGGTTTCTATGGACACACACAGCCCGGCTTGGGAGAGAGCCCACATCTGTGCCCACACAGCAAGAGGCAGAAGAGGTAAGCGGCCGCTCTGTGCAATACAGAGCAGGTTTTTGTTTTTTTTACATCTAGGGAAAAAACCCAGCCTTTACAAACCGACACTTTTAATGTCTCAAAGACCAACTTTTGTATTTTGTGCTAAAAAGTTTACAGAAATAAAAAAAAAAAAAAAAAAAAAAAAGTCCTGTTCTTTTTTACAACTGTTCAAATAGGTTTATTAAGTGTTCTTGCATAGCAAGAGCACTTATTGTTATCTCACAAGTATATTCTTATTCTTATTATAGCTAAATTTGCCACGCTAACTCCTCCCACAGTTTTTACACTACAAAGACAAGTAATATATCAAAACGTGCGGATTGTTCCCGATCGGATTGCTATTACTTTGTGGAACGTTTCGCCGAATCGTTCACGAAATATCGCGGTTTTTGTGGTGAAATTTTCCCATAGGAATGCATTGAGCAGCAGAGCACAGCTAGAGTGTGCAAATGAAAAATCAGAACATGATTTGTAAACTGCCATCACTCTGTCATTTTCAAGCCCACCTACACATATCTTATATCAAAACGTTCAGCTAACCCTGCTGTCACTAAAAATGTTCACGGCTAGGACATACTCCTGATAGTTTTTCAGAATATGACCATTTGTTTGCCACTCACCCCTCCCATTGACTTTCATTGAAACTCCACTCTAGATACCTGAAATTTTAAGGGACGTTTTTAAACTGCGACTGTGCCTTCATTTATTATCTTTCAGAGACATACTATACATCAAACTGTAGCCCTGCTTCTTGTGATTATCACAATATAAGGCTCTTTGCTGTAGCATTTATACTTTTAAAACTACAAGTGTTTGAAGATGGCAATCGCCAGTGAAGTTGGCAAGTTTAAACACTGTTTAGAACAGACATGCTGACATTCCTGACTGAGTGAGTTGCTACAGCAACCAAACATGACTCACACGCAGCTGAGTCATTGAGGCTAACTGTAAACTCCAAAATACAAGCTGAAATCCATTTATCCCTCTGTCAGGCTTGCTATGTACACTGCTTACATTTCATGAATCATTTGGTAAGGGTTACTTGCAAGAACACTTTACACAATTTCCCCAGAAATTGTAGATTTTCTAGTTTACAAATACAACCACAAAGAACAAAAAAAATCAAGATGGTGAAAGCAGCCAACAAACCTTGATTAGTAGTATAGTGCTCATAAGCATCACCAATGGCAAGCTGAGCTTTTTCGCGGGTTTCTTTAAGTGTGGGCATGTGTAGCACAGGGCCGTATTCAGTCCGTAATTTCACCGACATCTTTAGCTTGTGACTAGCAAGAAGGGAACAGAAAATCTAGATTAGCAGAAAACATTAAAGAGTATATCCAGCTGAAACACTTTTGTTTTTAATGTTTTGGATAGGGTGAAGGATTAAAACCAGCTTGATTTTAGTGCTGTCCCCTGCTCTGTTCAAGAGATTGCCCTTATTTACTATTGTGTTGACAACCTTTCTCCAGTCATGAAGCAAGAAAAATTCTGGAACAGGGACACAGACAGCAATACAAAGCTGACAAGTGTTCTAGCTTTCTCCAATTACAAAAAAAATAGTACATTTTATTTGGATCTATATTGCAGATAGAGATTCTATCTCACTTCCTACCTTATGAAACTATATTCACCATGGTAGTAAGGGGGTTGGTCATGCAGTTTACACTATACGACAACTTACCAAATGCAAAACCAATAACCCAGCTGTAATTTCACTGGAATGCTTTTGCAGTGATGCTGCCATCACTTTAATTGGTTTCCACATGAAAATGAGTGAAGGGAACATACCCCAGCCTTTATATAAAGTTGAGTAATTCTGCCATCTTAAACCAATCAGGAATGCAATTCTGCATAGCCAGTTTTGTGATTTACACACTTTGTTCACATTGCCTAACCAGACAGGTGACAAACAGTCTCTAATCAAGCAATTCATCCCTCTGGTTCAAGAATTGAGTTTTCTGTCACATATCCACCTCTAACCTCTTAAAATGTTACTAAACCCATAACCCTGCATTGACTATATCTGGTCTTCCACAGTACACAAACAATGGAAATGCAATTATTTTAGTAAATACAAACTGCTAAATATCTTTTCTAATCAGCAGTTAGAGCAGTCTTATGACTTCAATGTCCAGCAGAGCACCAGTTAAAGCTTGTAGGAGGAGTTTTCTTTTCCCCCTGATTGTCTTATCAGGCAGCAGGACCCCTGACCCTCTGTCTGGACAGTGCTGTTTGGCCCTGTGTTGATCACATGCACTCTACGAAGATAAAAAAAACTCTCTACCAATACACAACAAACTGAGCACGTGCAGCTTGCTCCCAATACTTTGTTCTATGAGATGGATTGGGGACAGTAGAAAAAGGGGAGGATCAGAGAAGACAGGCTCAAAGATCCTTTTTACAAAATGCAGAGCATTAACCCCTTAGGTTGCACAGTGCATATAACAAGCACGCTTTACTGCACACACAGACTGATTTTACTGTTGTGGCTTTAGTAACACTTTAATGGACAGAAAATCAGCAACCTTATCTCTGTCTACTTAGCAGGGAGCTGATCTAGAAACAGTAAAACAGATTTAGGAAACAGTAATGCTAAACTAGGGAGTAGCAGAGAGATTTATGTGTGAATCACAAGAATAACTGGCCAAAATGAAAGGTTCTTTGACAGGTAAAACACTAAGCAATTGAATTTAAAATGATGTATTTAGCAGTTTGCCTAGTGTTCCATATTCAGTCTGCTTCTATGTGTTTGGCTTTAGTAGTAGTGAATTTCAGTTGTGATGTGACATTGTAAAAATAGCTCTTGGAAAGATAATTGTGAAATAGTGACTTGAAGTCATGGCAAAAACAGTGGAAATGGCAGATTGTTACCCTTAATTACAGCCTATTTCAATCCATTATAATTAAAAGTCATTCTGCATTGTTACTAATGCAATGTCAATTACTTATTTTGACATTGGCTAGGTGCAAGCTGCACATGTGTATTGTTCTTGATCTGTTATATGTACTTCCACAAATGAAGCATCCAGTGGACTGGATAGTCTGATTTCATTCACTGGGTTTCATGAAAATGATCAGCATACGGTTTTTGCTCTGATCCTACACAGCAGGTACAAGTAACACCCTGTTTACTGCTCGACATTACTTGTTGCATATAAAAAGGAGAAAAAGATAACATGCCAGCAAAATGTAGGTAACTGAATTTTCCACATGCTGTTTAAAGGAGTCTTCAAACTATCAGAATTTAACCACTTTATGTAATTTTGTTTCCCAGAAATAGAGCTGTCTTTTGGTGGTATTTGATCACCAATGGGTTTATTTTGTGCACTATAAACAAAAAAGACAATTAAAAATAACAAAAGTATTTTTTACTTTCTTCTATGAAACATATCCAATAAGTAAAAAAAAAACAAAAAAAAAAAATCATAAATTTAGGCCAATGTGTATTCTGCTACATATTTTTGGTAAAAAAAATCCCAAGAAGTGTATATTGATTGGTTTGCGCAACAGTTAAAGCATCTACAAACTATGGGATATATACTTGAATTTTTTTTTTTATGTTAGTAATGGCGGCAATCAGCTACTTATAGTGGGACTGCGATATTGCGGCAGACAATCTGACACTGACATGTTGTGGGAACCAGTGACACTAACAACAGTGATCAGGGCTAAAAATATACACGGTCACTGTACGAATGACATTGGCTTAGAATGGGTTAAACATCTAGGGTGATCAAAGGGTTAACTGTGTGCCTAGCCATTGTTTATATGTGTAGTATGTGGTGTTTTAACTACGGGATGCACTGCATTTTATTCCTTGCTTTGCAGGGAAACCAAATCTGGTACTTTGCCACTGACAGGACACAGCTCTGCCTTGTTTACATAGGAAGAGCTGTGCTGTGTCTCTCTCCTCGATGATCAGCGGGTGCTGCTGGTCATCCATTGGCTGGCAGCTATGACAAATCACAGCATAAGTGGTGCACTGGGGGCACACAAGCGCACACCCAACCTCTGCTCCCATGACTATTACAGCGACAATGCATTGTCTGCTCAGGCTCACCAGATATTTACTTACTAAAAACATCAAATAAAAGGACATAATTCACTAAAAAATAAATTAAAAAGAAAGCCACAAAAAACTTACCTTTCTTCATCTATAGGGATTCCTTTAGCATTGTCAGCCACAAACATGTCATGAGTCCTCTTCAGAGATCGGAACACTAGAGTGTGGACAGAGTGCTTCTGCACATCCTGAGAACAAAATAAGCACAACATTAAAGTGTCATTAAGCCTAATCATCAAAAGATGTCAGTGCTATATTGCATTGTGTTCAGACTCAGTCATAGATTAGATCATTTGTTTTCCGTAAACTGCAAAAAAATCCTGGTTGACCCCGCTGTTCACTGTCCCTCCCTCCTTGTCTATGTCCCCACTGCAGCCTGAGATTAAACTGCTGACATTCACTGAGCAAGCTCCAGTTTCTGTTCCCTTCTAAGCTGTTTATTTCCTCCTTTCTTATCTGTGCAGCCCATGTAACTATAGTCACACATTTGAGCATATACGCTGTGTGAAATGACAGTCCCCTCCCTCCCACCTCCTCGATGTCCTCGTATTGCTGAACACTATGGCAGAACTGTTATGGAGAGAAATATATATATTTTATCATTTTAATTTTGTATTATAGCAATTTTCTAAACCAAGATATAGAGATGGCCCTATTAACATTTTGCAGATTTCAAACAGGTCCAGGGACAGTGTCAGCTTAAGCTTGAATACAGAAAAAAGCAGAAGCTTAACCAATTCATTCTGTAAACAAACTTGCTTTTTGGACAATGAAGTTCTGTTAGCTATACACACCTGAAATTTATCAGATCTTTTATTACTTTGAAAATGGGCTATCGTGATGAACCAACAAACATTATTTGACCAGATAGACAAGAAAGGAATCCTTGTATAGAGAGATGCCCATTGCATGGTGTTACTTATGGACACAACAATTAACAAGCCTGGCTGTCCTGTGAACTTTGTCTCAGCTTTGGGAAAGACAAACAAACACAGGAAAAGACAACACTCACAGAAATTAACTGCTTGCAAAAATATACTATTTCCCTAACACAAAGAATTTATATAAAATAAGTCAGTTCACAGACTCCATATCACAAGTCATAGGGTTAAGCCATCATGACACTGTGTAATATGAATATCTATCTATGCCTGCTTACAAGCAAATAGATTATAAATTATTTTACCAAAGTCACTATAGTTATCATGGACCTATCCATAAATATATGGCTTTAAATTGTAATACAATATTGTAAGGTATATATGGTGATCAGCTACAACATTTTTTTATCATTAATATCTCCCATTACTACAAAAAGGTTTTCCCAATATGAACATGGTTTGTTTGAAATCCCCGTTGTTAAAAAAAAAAACGAATCTGTATACTTAAACTACTAATTGATTATAGCTATTGTATTACATGTTTTTATCTTCTTTGCTCTGTTGGTGTACAACTATTATTTTAATTGTTATGTACGAATTTTTACCTGTTCATAGTTAAAAGCTTCCATTTAATTGCTGCTACCATAAAGTAGAAAATCATCAGACTCTCCAGGGCATTCTATATATTTTCTGAAATTGTTGCAATGAATTGAAAATACCTGGTGATCAGGCCAATTACCACAACTTTTTCATTCTTGGTGGTAATGTTCTGCACATGCCAAAGCTCATCACTACCAATCAATAGGAAGAACTGAGTATTTAAAGTGCTCATCCACTATATGTGATTAGTCTTAAGTTTTATCTTCACTGAAAATGAAAATAAAAGAAAAAAAAAAAGGGCTTTCAAAGTATGTGCTTTAAAAAAAAGAAACCTGGTTAAAGTGGTTCTAAAGACAAAAGGTTTTATTTTTTTTTTACCTTAATGCATTCTATTCAGCAAGGTAAAAAACAAAAACTTCTAAGTGCAGCTCCCCTTACCCCAGCCCCCTAAATACTTACCTGAGCCTGATCTCGATCCAGCGATGTGCACAAGTGCAAAAGGATGTCTCAACTCCCTCCCTCATTTGCTCAGAGACAGCAGGAGCCTTTCAGGGGGGTAGGGCTGAGCTGCACTTTTTGTGTGTCAATGTGTCACACACAGAGCCAGTTCAGGAGAAAGGCCGAATGAGTGTCCCCATTGCAAGTGGCTTACTGGTGGTCATTGGTGGTAGTGTCAGTGAAAGTGTTACCACCCCCCTCCTCAAAAACCCTCTTGTATTCTGATGGCAGTGAAAGTGTTAACCTCCAATTCCCCCCTGTAATGTTGGTCAAGGTGGTGAAAGTTAACCCCCTCTGCACTCTGGTGGTCACTGCAGTGACATTCAACCCCCACATACTGGTAGACATGGTAGTGAAAGATTTAAACTTCTTGTATTGGTAGCCATAGTAGTGAAAATGTTAACTTCCCCCCATACCACCTGTATTGTGGTAGTGAAAAGGTTAACCCCCACCCCACTGGTGTTCACTTACCCATCACGTTCCCACAATGCTCTTTCCCCAGGCTGAGATTTTGCTTGTACTGTGGGCAGAGATAACTTACCCAGAGTACAGTCTCTCTTTTATTGCCAGCGCTGGAACACAGAGAGCATTCTAGTACCCAATAGCCTGCAGGTTGCATGCAGAGGGCCCGGCAGGCCATGTGTTGGGCTCAAGGGCTGTAAAGTGTTCTAAGGCTTCATACCTAGGAAGGGAGGTTAGACCAAATCTACACATCCAAAATCCTATTATGTTTATAGGCAAGTTTACATCTGTACGTGACTATGCAAGTGTCCGTCTGCTGATCATCTGTGGTTCAGTGTGAATGGGTGTAAAGCCAGGGTATGCAGTCAAAACCCATGAAATAGGAAAGGTAACATTCCTGAAGCAAAGCAGAACCATCCAGTTATAAAAAAAGCTACAAGGCATGATGGCAAATACTAGTTTGTATGCATTCAGAAAGCGTGCTGGTAAGTAAAGAATGCCTGCAGAGAAGGAGATGAGATTCTGCACATTATTAGCAGTGTTGCTGGTTGGTGAGGCAATCCACATACTGCAGTTTAAATGTCTACTTTTACGGAGAACTAATTATGACTACGGCCCCTAAAGTAGATCTTATTTACACTTTTAATAACGAATGCAATCTTCTTTTCATGCAAATTATATTCAAGCTGTAAATACATTTATTTTCAGCAGTAGAGAAAATATTTGAAACTGGAGCAGCGTGCATAATCAAATATAACAAATGTTTGCTACTTCCAAGGTTTATAGAAGATAGGTTATTCTCTTTTGCCTGCAGCAATCTCCTCCTGCTCCTACTGTCATTCTCTTCTCCACTGGACTCATCCTGTCATCCAAACTCTGCTCTTCTCACTTTTCATATGCTGAAATACAGTCACCCAAGCTGCGCTTTCCTATTCAAGATGCAAAACCTGAAGCTCAGGGCTACAAATGTTACCATTACATATTACACTTTACAAATAAACCAGATTAGGGTATCTAAACTGGGTTACTGGTGTACCACCTCAGCTGTGAACCACTGCATTAGTGACAGACAATACTGAGGGCAGGATACACTTGACAAGGGCTGTTCGTAGCTTTCTGAATGCATATTACAATCTGGCAAAGTCACCCTTTTTTTGCAGAGTATAAACATTTTCATCCACAGCTATATGGGAGAAAAAAAAAATCTCAATATGTGCCCCAAAATGAAGGCTTCCAAGACGCGAGTAGTAACACAGCTGAGAGGCTCTGAATGCTCAGAAGTCCTAGAGATGTTACTGACAGTCATCAGCCTACATTCTTATTATAGCCGAAGGCATAATGATTATTTTTGGTAGAAATACAGTGCCAAGCATATTTGGTTAAACCAACTGCATTTTTATTTACCTATTCAGTGATTATTTTGGGCCAACCCTTAAACTGTGAGCGGTCTGCTCCTCCTTTGAGCTGTTTGTGTGATGTGCAAGTACCCCACATATTTAATTCCCAGCACTTCAAAAATGCCATTCCCAAAAGCAAGGCTGATCAGATCACTTCCTGAGCATTCAGGAACACACCCACCAGAAGTGCAATCCTGGCAACCAATATACACACACAGCTTCCCCTGTGCAGGCATCACACATCATTGATGCATAATGAATATGCAGAGGAAGCCTGGGAACACAACCAACTGTCCCTTTAATCATAGAGACTAACCTCTGTGGGCTAAAGAAAATATATCACACAAAGTGATCCCAGCTACGGCACCACCTGCCTGGAGTTTGCATGTTCTCCCTGTGTCTGCATGGGTTTCCTCCGGGTACTCCGGTTTCCTCCCACACACCAAAGACATGGCGTGTGGGAGGAAGGTTAATTTGGTAGGTTAATTTGATCCTGTCTAAATTGGCCCTGGTATGTATGAATGTAAGTTAGGGACCTAAGATTGTACGACCATTGAGGGTTAGGGACTGATGTGAATGTACAATATATATGTAAAGCGCTGCATAAAATTGATGGCGCTATATAAGTACCTGAAATAAATAAAGTGAGCCATAGTGCCGCACTGATTAGTGGCCATTGTGTTTCTGAAGGACAGTTTGTTAAAAACATTTCCATAGCTTCCAACATCAGCATCTTTTGAGTCTCTCAGCATTCAGTCACATGACATCTTGTTATTAAAAAAAAAAAAAAGACAATTTTGAGAAAAAAAAACAATATTTTTGACTTTATTAAACATGTTTAGTAAAAAAATTTTTAAAAATCTAATTTAGTCATAAATTTAGGCCAAAATGTATTCTGCTACATGTCTTTGCTACAAAAAAATCCCAATACGTATAAATTAATTGGTTTACATGAAAGTTATAGCGTTTACAAATGGCGGTATATATACTGGGATTTTTTTTTTTTCATTTTTACTAGTAATGACTGTGATCAGTGACTTATAGCGGGACTGTGGCAGGCATTGTGACACTGGGGGGGGGGGGGGGGAACGGATTTGGTGTCACTGACATCCCCAGTGACACTAATACAGTGATCAGTGCTAATGAAAAGCACTGACACTGTACTAATGGCACTGGACAGGAAGGGGAAAACATGTGGGGGAAATTAAAGGGTTAACTGTGCGCAGTGTTACTGTAAGCTGTGTGTGTGCGCGCTTCACTGTAAGCACACTGCTGTGCATGGCTATGCTATGCAAATCCATGCATAGCAGTGTGCAGGAGCTGACAGTGGACGGTAATGCTCCTCGATCACC